GGACCAAACTTGCAGCCGGCATCGATGCGAGAGCTGTGGGAACGAACACACTGTGGGAACAAAACACTGTGTGTGTGTGTTTTCCCACAGTGTGTGTTTTGCATGTTTTTGTGCGTTTCTTCCCACAGTCTGCGTGTGTTTTTCCCACAGATTCTCGAGCAAGGCTGTGAGGACATCTCAGGCGAACCAGCTGCCGGACCGCGCGTCCTCAGGGTCCCCGCCCCCCCTTGTGGGACTCTTCTGTGGTCCACTCCTCCTCCTCCTCCTCCTCCTCCTCCTCCTCCTCCTCCTCCTCCTGCTCCTGCTCCTCCTCCTCCTCCTCCTCCTCCTCCTCCTCCTCCTCCTCCTCCTCCTGCTCCTCCTCCTGCTCCTCCTCCCCTGGAACGCTCTAGCGAAACGCTCTGAGGGAACCTGCGCAGCCCTATCCGCCGCTTCGGGGTCGCGCCCAGGGGCTTCGGGGAGTGGTGAGATCGGACCGCTCCTCGAGCGTACGACGTCGCGGGAGAACACACGGCTGGAGCCGTCGACCCCACTTCCGTGCGTTCTGTCTCGAGCCGGGCCGAGAGTCGACGGCCATGCGATTTCGACCCGTGTGGCGCTGGCGCCCGATCGTGGCCTTGTTTTCTTCGCGGCTGGGCGGGACTAAGGGCCTGTCCAGCTTCTTTCGAGTACCCAAACAATCAAGGGCTCCCTCGAGGGCGCGAAGTTATTCGCGCTTCGCGCTTCGCGGTCCTCGTTCCTTCTCCCCCTCCTCCTCGTCCTCCTATTCTCCCTTTGGGGGGGCGGCGCGAGAGCGCGAAGTTATTCGCGCTTCGCGCTTCGCGCAGCGCGAAGCGCGAAGCTGGGAGCCCTTAACAATTGCAGCAACAAGAGTTCTGGAGCTCCGCGCGGATTTCTTGGAGCGGCTCTGGGCTCACGGCGCCTCCGGCGCCCCCCCCTGCCACGCTACGCGTGCCAGGGAGAGGGTTCCAGCGCCGATCCAAGAAATCAGCGCGGACATCCGATTGTTTCTGTGTATGTCATTGGGTGTTTGTCTATTTGTCAGGGCAGGGAGGTATCTGGGAGCAAGTAGCGGGGACCCCGCTGAGGTCCCCGTCCTTGAAAGACTGATGAGAAGTCTGTGGTTTGGTTCGATACATCTGCTGAAAAGACGACCTATCCCTAATGTTTTGGGCCTCTTAATTTGGGCCTGCTCTCAAAGGGTGAGGGGCCCTTGAATTGTTAATCATGAGGGAAGCGGGTCCTGAGGTTCTTCGTCGTTGGTGGCTTCGTGGAGGCCCTCCACGGGCCCCGGGACTGTCAGCAAACGGAGGCGGCGATGCGGCGAAATCCGTCGGCGGCGGAGCGGCGAAATCCGCACCAGCGTAACAGCCAAGTAGGGGCATTAACTAGCGAATTGGCCGGCGTACAAGGAGGGAGGGGGGAGGCCACGAGGAAGGAGGGACGCTCAGACGCCGAAGCATTCGACGATGAGCAGCCGGCGGGCTGCAGCAGCCAGGCGCGCCGGGCCAGAGCACGGTGGGCGGCCGTGGCGAACCACGGGGGCAAGGTTACACACACACACACGACGGTAGTTCCTGTGCATTTTGAAGTGGACTCGCTGTCGTTGTCGCTGTGGACGTTGCCCATTTGAGACAGAGCTTTGGACAAGATGAATTGTTGGGCAGTGTGCAGATAGTTTCCGTAGCTATGTCGGGCGTCCCAATCAAAGGAGAATCATCCCCCAGATTTGCCCTGGGGCGCATGTTGACCACAGGTTTCGAGGCTGATCTGGCGATTTCGACGAGGAGGCCGCCGAGGAGGCCCGATCGGAGGGCCAGAGACGCCCGAAATTCTGAACCTCGAAGTTGATCCTCCTGGGACTATCTTGCACCTCAGGGATCTGATTATCCAGTGTTCTCCCGTCCCTGAGAGGCCGTGCGTCTCAATTTCTTCACGCTGGGCGTACTCGCCGGGTTTCGGGCCCCTCGCAGATTGATCCGGCTGAAGAATCGCTGCAAGAAAAAGTGGACTTCAGGCACGGGCGCGTGAGTTCTCTGATGCTGGATCTTTCGCGACGCTGGATCTCCCAAAGAAGGACAGGGACCCTTTGGAGCACGGGTCCTAGACTTGTGGGCTCTCCCTCAGGACCAGCCCTTGGTCTTGAGCCGTGTTTTGACGGTCCCGGGCCGGTGGCGAGTCCAGGGTACCGAGCCAACAGAAGCAGGAGTCATTTTTCCATGTCATGAAGAGGAGGATGAGGATGAGGAGGAGGAGGAGGAGGAGAAGGAGGAGGAGGAGGAGGAGGAGGAGGACGGAATGGGGGGGGGGTGAGGGGGGAGGGGGAGGGGGAGGGAGGGAGGGAGGGCAGAAGGGAGGAGGGTAAGAGGGAATGGACAAGCTAGCTGCGCTAGAGCCACACTTGGCATCCTACCCTTCCCACCTACGCATCACTGCCTTGCGTTGATGTTTGTTTCTCCGCCGACGAATGTCATCAAGGACCTGGACCCCCCCTCCAAATTATGCTAACGGAGTTCCCCACATACAGAGATTAACGGTTTCGTGGGACCCATTTTCTTGATGCCCTCCTCGCGACGCTGGAGGGGTGGGAGGGGCACGAAACCATGTAAATAGTATGGTTTTCCGATACCCTCCTCGCTCAGGCTGGGCCTCCCTGGAGGGGTGGGAGGGGCACGAAACCATGTAAATAGTATGGTTTCCGATACCCTCCTCGCTCAGGCGGGGCCTCCCTGGAGGGGTGGGAGGGGCACGAAACCATGTAAATAGTATGGTATTCCGATACCCTCCTCGCTCAGGCGGGGCCTCCCTGGAGGGGTGGGAGGGGCACGAAACCATGTAAATAGTATGGTATTCCGATACCCTCCTCGCTCAGGCGGGGCCTCCCTGGAGGGGTGGGAGGGGCACGAAACCATGTAAATAGTATGGTATTCCGATACCCTCCTCGCTCAGGCGGGGTGGAGGGGTCCCCGATACCCTCCTCGCTCAGGCGGGGCCTCCCTGGAGGGGTGGGAGGGGCACGAAACCATGTAAATAGTATGGTATTCCGATACCCTCCTCGCTCAGGCGGGGCCTCCCTGGAGGGGTGGGAGGGGCACGAAACCATGTAAATAGTATGGTATTCCGATACCCTCCTCGCTCAGGCGGGGCCTCCCTGGAGGGGTGGGAGGGGCACGAAACCATGTAAATAGTATGGTATTCCGATACCCTCCTCGCTCAGGCGGGGCCTCCCTGGAGGGGTGGGAGGGGCACGAAACCATGTAAATAGTATGGTATTCCGATACCCTCCTCGCTCAGGCGGGGCCTCCCTGGAGGGGTGGGAGGGGCACGAAACCATGTAAATAGTATGGTATTCCGATACCCTCCTCGCTCAGGCGGGGCCTCCCTGGAGGGGTGGGAGGGGCACGAAACCATGTAAATAGTATGGTATTCCGATACCCTCCTCGCTCAGGCGGGGCCTCCCTGGAGGGGTGGGAGGGGCACGAAACCGGTATGGTACGGTATGGTACGTATGGTGTGGTATGTATATGGTATGGTATGGTATGTGTGGTAGGAACTATGGTATGGTATGGTGTGTGTGGTAGGAATAATATTGTGCTGTATGGAAGATGGAGCGGGAGGTGGGTGGGAAGGAGAGGGTGCTCTGGGAAAACAAGAACCCCACTCAGGATGTGGGGAAAAACCCATTGTGTTATGCGCAATCAAAACAGAAGAGCTGCACACATTGGAGGAGGAGGAGGAGGAGAAGGAGGAGGAGGAGGAGGAGGAGGAGGAAGAGGAGGAGGAGGAGGAGTTGGAGGAGGATGAGAAATACGTGGCGGATGAGCAAGAGAACGATCAGGAGGAAGATGATGAGGATAAGGAAGGAGGAGGACGAGGAGGAGCAGCAGCAGCAGCAACAGGAGCACGCGTAGGGGGAGCTGCAGGAGCAGGAGGGCCAGGGGAAGGCGGGGGAGGTGGACGACACCGGCGAGAAGGGGCTCGGATCCAGAAGCGTACGGTGGGGTTTGTCTGGGGGCAGCGCGTCGCGCCAGCTCTGGCCCACCACGCTCCGGCGCGACACGCTGCCCACTTCCCCGCCCCCAGAGGTCGACGTCCCGAGCTTCCCTGAGGTCCCCGCCCCGCGGCGCGGAGCGACACGCTGACCCATTGTGTGAGGCGTGGCGCGTCGCCGGGGCTGCTGGTGCGGCACGCGATCCAAGCGTTCCCGGCCGTAGCCCACGTTTGGGGCGAGAACACCACCCAGAACGAAGGGAGCAAAAGGTGCCGATCCTGGAGCGCGGTCCACGCTGCAGCGGGAGCACCCCTCCAAAAACACCGCGGGGACGTTGCGATCGGACATGTCAGGTCGGCAGCCAACTCGGGGCAATCCTGCGCATGTGTGTCCAACAAGTGGCATACGGAATATTCAGGCGGGCGAGAGTAAACGCAGCACCAGGGGAGAAATGGTAGCATGTTTCAAACCAGGTCCTTCTGGAGGAGGGACAGGAAGGAGGAGGCGGAGGAGGAGAAGTAGAGGAATTGGAGGCTGAGGAGGTTTCCTCCACCTCCGCTGGTGCCTGGCCGTCAGTGAGCGACGATACCCGCTAGTTGCAATGGGGGCTCTGGGGGCTGGCCAGCCCTGTGCCAAAAAAGACGATGCCAACGGGCGATTGCCATCAGCTCGGCCACATTCGCGCCTGCACTGCATAAGGCAACGCATCGTATGTTGAGCTGCTCTGCATCATGATTGGAGTAGGAGGAGGAAGAGGAGGAGGAGGAGGAGGAGGAGGAGGAGGAGGAGGAGGAGATGGAGGAGGAGGAGGAGATGGAGGAGGAGGAGGAGGAGGAGGTGGAGATGGAGGTTGAGGAGGACGAGGACAAGGACGAGGACAAGGAGACGAGATGGAGATGGAGGAGGATGAGATGCAGAGGAAGAGGAGGAGGAAGTCTTATGAGTAGGAGGAGGAGGAGGAGGAGGAGGAGGAGGAGGAGGAGGAGAACGCTTTCCCGGCCGCGGCAAGGCATTCCTCCACGGCCTCGAGAGCCACCGCCACACGTGCCCCGAGCCGTGCCCCAGTGCGCCCACGGGGCAGCTCCGTGAGGCCCAGCGACCGGCTGGCCAACGACGGCGACGACGACGACGACGGCGATGGCGACCCAGACGTGCCCGCGTCGTGAAACAAAAACCACAGTCCCAGACATCCGCCGGCTCGAGACATTCCAGACGGCGGTTGTTCTCATCGTTTTCGACCTCTCGGGGCGCCAGCGCTGCAGCGGGAGCACCGCAAAGCGTAGCATCAACCTAGCATTGCAGTGCATGCCGTGGCATGGCACGGGAAATCATGCCAGCGCTGCATCGGGAGCAGGAGTCGAAACGAGCGGAAGCGCGGAAATGAGGCCAGCGCTGCAGCGGGAGCAGGAGTCGAAACGAGCGGAAGCACGGAAATGAGGCCAGCGCTGCAGCGGGAGCACGCAGCACGATTCGGAACGAGCGGGGCCCGAAAATGAGGCCGGCGCCTCAGCGAGAGCAGCATTTTGAAAAAAATGCAGGCGAAAACCCAATTCCGGGGAAACCTGTGTGTAAACAAACCGTACGCGGGGGGGGGTCGGCCACTCCCAGGCCGTCATCAGGGGAAGAGGGAGAGTAGTATGCATATTGAGTAGCTGTGGAGGAGGAGGAGGAGGAGGAGGAGGAGGAGGAGGGAATGAGAGGAGGAGAGGGAGGGATGAGGAGGAGGATAGAGGAGGCGGAGGAGGAGGAGGAGGGGGAGGGGGGGGGGGGGGATGAGGAGGGAGGAGGCGGGGAGATGGAGGAGGAGAGGAAGGCGGAGGAGAGAGAGGCGGAGGGATGAGGAAGAGGAGAGGAGGGGAGGGAAAGGGCGAGTGGGACGAGGAGAGGGGGAACGAGGAGGAGGTCGAGACGTGGAAAAGACGTGGGGGGCCCGTGTCTGGAAAGGGGTACGGACGCCGGGTGTCTGGGGCGGGAGTTTTTGTATTGCCGTTCTCGCCACGGCCGAGACGGCCTCCTCCTCCTCCTCCTCTCCTCCTCCTCCTCCTCCTCGTCCTCCTCCTCCTCCTCCTCCTCCTCCTCCTCCTCCTTCGTCCTCCTCTTCCTCCGCTCACGCGGGGCCTCCTCGTCCTCCTCTCCCTCCTCCTCGTTCTCCTCCGCCGCCTCCTCCCCTCGTCCTCTCGTCCCTTCGTCCTCCTCCTCCTCCTCCCCTCCTCCTCCTCCTCCTTCTCCATCTCCTCCTCCTCACCTCCTTGCTGAAACCCACGGGCGTTTGAGTGCCCTTGAGGCCCGTGACTCTTGAAGGAACTGCGCTCTCCTCCTCCTCCTCCGCCTCCTCCTCCTCCTCGTCGTCCTCCTCCTCTCCTACGCCTCCTCCTCCTCCTCCTCCTCCTCCTCCTCCTCCTCGTCCTCCTCCTCCTCCTCCTCCTCCTCCTCCTCCCCCCGAGCCAAAGTTCCCTCCTGACCTTGTCCCCTGGTTTTCGGATCAAAACTCAGGCATCCGGCGGCCGATCGAGACGGCCATCAAAATCAATGTGGGACGAAGAATTCGGTGGCAAATCGTGGGAGCCTGGTGTACCCTCTGAATTCCGTCTTTAGCGTCGATTAGCGTCGATTGGCGTCTGGGAGTCGATGAGATAGGGCCGATTTAGCGTCGGATAGCGTCGATTAGTGTCGATTTAGCGTCGGTTAGCGTCGTTTAGCGTCGATGAGCGTCGATTCACAAGAGCCAACAAGATGGTATGGGAGGCTCCCATGTGTTGCCACCGAAGAAGAACCAGCCCATGGGGAAATGGTCAGGACCTTGACTGCTCTGATACGCACGTTTTGACACGTCACACGTGCCGTGTTCGAGACGTCCGTGCTCAAGAGGTGCGTGCTCCGTCGACGCGTCGACCTCCGTATCAACACGCTACGTGTGGTGTGCTGCGTATCGGGGCAGTCAAGGTCAGGACCTCCTGGGGCCCCGTCTTGAGAGAATCGGCACCTCGGACGTCCTGAGGACTGCTCGCCGTGCAGTGCAGTGCTCGGCAGTGCCCCAGCCTCGGGCGTGCAGTCCAGCGGCTGCGCCTCGCCGAGCGCGTGTCGGGGGTGCCTGAAGGTCTCGAGCAGTGGCGAAGCGTCCCGGCTCGCCGATAGCCCCAGCAGATGATGTTCTAAGAACCTTTCGTGGTCTGCGCGAAATGTTCTTAGAACGTTTCCGGCTGGAGCTGTCTTGTTTCAACACATCGGGCTCATGTTCTAAGAACATTGTTTCGGTTCTGAGAACATGTCTGGGTTCTAAGAACATTTCGTGGTAGGACTATGGGAATGCCGGGACGGTCGGTCCCTGATCAAATATCGTCCCCGACGGCGGCCCGATGTGTCTACAGTGGGGGCGCGCACCAAGCAACCATGTGTTTTCCGTCAGGGCACTCTGGGCGCGCTGTGCGGTGACCTCCGCGGCCGTTGAAGAAGCTGCTGCGATCGGGGTGCTCTGGGCTCTGGGTGCCTCCGGGCGTGTGCCTCGCTCGTGGGTGCCTCTTCCCCCGTCGCCGGTCTGCACACCTCTCCCGGGAGCCGCGTGGCGGCGCGCAGAGCAACCTGGAGGGCCCGCCTGTCACCACCCACCAAACCACCCCAACCCAACCCGAAGGCCTCAATTCGCCCTCCATTTCCAGTGGGGGGGGGTCCGGGAACATCGAAAAAACACATATGGAGCCCATACCCCCCCAACCCGAAATTCGGGTCTTCGGGTTGGGTTGGGGTGGTCTGGTAGGTAGTCAGCCTGGAGCTTCAGCGCCGCCGAGGCCACTCGTTGCGTGAGACCCCGGGGGTCTCGTGGGAGCCTCGTGGGGGGCAGCGCCTCGACCCAGACCTTGGGGCTCGGGTTCCTTGCGAGGGTCTCTTGTCCTCCTCCTCCTCCTCCTCCTCGTCCTCCTCCTCCTCGTCCTCCTCCTCCCTTCCCCCCGTCCTACATCCTCATCTCCTCCCTCCCTTTTTACTCCGTCCCCACCTCTCCTCCCTCCCTTCCTTCCTCCTCCTCCTCTCCTCCTCTAACTTCATACTCCTCCTTCCTCCTCCTCCCCCTCCTCCTCCTCCTCCTCCTCCTCCTCCTCCCCCCGAGCCAAAGTTCCCTCCTGACCTTGTCCTGGACGCCGCTTCTGCACGCACAGGTCCTGGAGGCGGGGCTTCGTCGGGGGAGCAGTCTCCCAGGGGTTTGGGCGGGGGAGCGGGCCCGGCTGGAGGCTCCCGTTGAAGGCGGTTTCCTTCTTCCAGGAGCCGTTCGGAGCGATCTGCCCTCCAACCCCGCCTTTGCCCCAACGCCACCTTGGTGCCCCCCCCCCCCCCCCCGCAGGAGGGAGGCGGGGCCATCGGCGCGCTTTTCCGGCCTCCCGCTGGGGGGGGGGGGGGGGCTGGGGGGCGGGACGAGCAGCTCCGGCCCCAGGGCTGGGCCTCAGGGCTCGTGGGTCGGCCCTGCCTCCCTCGGTGCCGTGCTGTTCGTGCCGGGCGCCAGGCGGCGGCGGTTGCGACGGAGGAGGCCCAGGAGGAGGAGGAGGCCCAGGAGGGGCAGGAGGAGGAGGAGGAGGAGGCCCAGGAGGAGGAGCAGGAGGAGGAGGAGGAGGAGAGGGACCAGTGTAAAGCCAAGACTCGCCAACGTTGTTGGGATACAGGCTCCCTCCAGGCTGCCTCCCCATAGGCCCCTACAAGGGTCCACTTCCCCGGAGGGAAGTGCTCCGTTGGGGGACAACCGTGCGAACGTCTTGAAGCACTCCACGAAACCATTCTCAGGACTTCAACGCCACGAGTCAACCCGACCGATGCGTCTTGACGATCCCGAATCGCGCCAGAAGCCCACTCCTGGAATTTCAGCATAGCTGTTGCGCCCTCGCAGCCCTGAATCGTTCCCAAACGCAGTTTCTGGTCCGCTGACCATGAGAACACAGTTGATGGTACGTTACCCATCAGAAGGCGAGGGCCACATGTTGTAAAGAAACTGGCCTCAATCCGTAACGTTCTTACATTTGTTTAAACGAATGTGCGCGGCGCTAAGGCGAGAGTCACATGTTGAAAACGACCCCCTCAATATGTGAAGCTCTTGCACAGTTAATGGGCCAATGTGCGCGGCGCTAAGGCCAGAGCCACAGTCTGACCGCAGACCGCCCTCATGTTGTCAAGCTCTTGCAGCTGTTTGCAACCAATGTGCGTGGCGCTTTGGCGAGAGCCAAATGTTGAAAACGGCTCGCCCTCAATCCGTAGAACCTCTGCACACTTTTCAGACGAATGCGCGCGGCGCTACGGCGAGAACCACGTGTTGAAAGACACCCGTCCTCCATCTGTTAAACTGTGGTCAGTCATTAAGCCTGCAGCTCACGAGTGGCAAGGAATTATCAGGCGAAGCGCCCGGGCCGCCCTTCCGACAGGCCTCGGGGTGTGACAGGGAGGAGCTCTTCATGAGGGACGGGAATGGAGGAGAAGGAGAAGGAGAAGGAGGCTAAAAAAGATGAGGAGGAGGGGGAGGAGGAGGAGGAGGAGGAGGAGAAGGAGAATGAGGAGGAGGAGGAGGAGGAGGAGGAGGAGGAGAAGGAGGCTAGAAAGAGGAGGAGGAGGAAGAGGAGGAGGAGGCCTGGCAAAGGCGATGGCGACGGCGGCGGCGGCGGGGCCGAGTGCAGGCCGCGTGCAGGACTGCGCTCCCGGGCGAGGCGTGCCACGCCGAGGTGACGTGGGCGATGCGGGAGGACCCGCCTCGTCGTCATCGTCGTCCTCCTTCTCCCTTTCCTCCTCTCCTTTCCTCCTCTCTCCTCCTCTTCCCCCCCTCTCTCTAGCCTCCTTCTCCTCTTCCTCTTGGCCTCCTCCTCCGCCTCACTGGCACCTCCTCCTCCTCCTCATCCTACTCTCCTCTCCTCCTCTGGGCTCCTCCTGGGTCCTCCTCCTCCTGGGCCTCCTCCTCCTCCTCCTCCTCCTCCTCCTCCTGTGCCTCCTCCTCCTTCTTCTTCTCCTCCTCCTCCTCCCCCATCCCTATCCATATAGATACCTCCCCGTTATCGCATTCCTGTCTAGACGTGTAGGTGGGGCGAGTCGGGCGTCTCGTCTAAGAGTCTAGGACCCCCTATCGCCCTTTTGTGATCCCGAAGCTTGGAAATTGCAACCCTCTTCAAGGATGGAGGGCGGGTGGTCTTCAAGGTGGCTCTCGCCGGAGCGCCGCGCATACTTGTCTCAGATGCTTGCAGCACGTTGGCGCCCCCAGCGTGCTCACGCGGAGGTGTCCTGCGGTTGCCAGTGCGTGGGGGCCTGTCTGTCCTGGGCCTGTATGGCTCGGGCCTGGATGAGCGACGCTGGCACTGCTCGTGTCTGTCTTGTTTGCAGGACCGACTCTGCGGCCGCCTGCTGCACTTGCGGCGTGCCGCGGGAGCGTGGTGCACGTTCGTCCGCGCAGACCGTGGCCCACGGCCCCCTTTGGCTCCCGAGAGTCCCTCAAGGCCCCCCCCAAAAAGAAGCGGTTCTCATTTTAGCGACGCGCACATTTGTTCTGACGGTTTGTGAGCATGTTCAACCAGGGAGGGCGGCTTCGTTCCAAAGTGTAGCCCTGTTCTAGCGCCGGGCATACTGTATTCGATTTGAAAGTTTGCAATAGGTTGAAGGATGGAGGGCGGTTCCTTTCCAAAGTGTGGCTCTCGCTACAGCGCCGCGCACATTCGCTTTGAAAGTTCGCAGTAGATTCAAGGATGCAGGGCGGCTCCTTTCCAACACGTGGCTGTCGATTGAGTTCCGCGCAAATTCGTCTTGAACGCTTGCAGCAATTCTAAGGACTCGTAGGGTTGAACTCCCAGGAATTGTGATCCAGTGTGATTGAGGATTGTCGGAATGCAGCCGTCCCAGAAATGGCATGTCTGCCACGATTTATGAGTGCCAGTGCGCGACGGACACGTTGACTCGCGGAGCTGAAGTCCGAGAAATGACATTTTGGTACGATTGATGATTCGCAGGTTGTCTTTCAATGGGGCACTCCCCAAAATGAAAGCAGATTCTTGTAGTGACCTGTGATAAGGGAACTTGGAGGGAGGGTGTATTGCAACATCGCTGACGCGTCTTGAGTTTGCACCTTCTTCTCCTCTTCCTCATCCTTCTTCTTCTCATCTTGGGCCTCTCGTCCTCGTCGGCGACTTCACTGACCATTCCTTCCCAAACTGAGTCGGGGTTGGCCCGAGGCTGCCAGGTCCTCATGGCAACGAGCGCACCGAGCTAGGAGGAACGATGAACTTGAGCAGAAGAGATAGGAGGAGGGGGGAATCAAATGAGTGCCAGTTAGAAATGTCAATGCTGAGGTGATGATGGAGCTATGCTGCCTCTTGTGAGTTCGGGCCAGCTATCATGCCCACTCGTGCCCGCACGGCCACGTCCTCAGGGATGCGTCAACGGCCCTGGGAGCGCACACGGCCGCCGCGGCACCAGTGGGCGCGCCTCCCTCGTGGGTGGGCGTGCCGTCGGTTCTGCTGCCCACTGCCCTTCGCCCTCCCCGAACACTCTGGCGCCGGCGGCGAGGCAGGGGCCGCCGGCGCTGGCGGAGAGGCCTATACAGGGGTGCCGTCAGAGCCAGCTTTGTGCCACTGCGCAGGAGCGTGAGGGGCAGGCACTGGGGCTGTCTTGGGCCATCTGGGCCGTCTTGGGGCCCTCTTGAAGGGAGGCTTCTTGGGCTGTCTTGGGGCGGTCTTGGGGGCCTCTTGGGCCGTCGTGGAGCGCTGGAGCGCCGAAAAGACGATAACGCCAGAAATTCTTCAAAAACCAATGGGAAATCGATGGTTTTTGCCTCAATCCTGAGAGCACCTTCTAGGAGAGACTCGGTGCTGTTTCAGGCCCCAAGGTTCAGAGCAATCTCCTCTGTGGGCTTCGGGCCCAGGCTGCTCCCCTCCTTCCTCTGCGGGGCAGAATTGGCGGATGGCTGGGGCATGTTCAAGACGCCCCATTCCAGCTATGGGTTTTCCTCCTCCTCCTCCTTTTCCTCCTCCTCCTCCTCCTTTTCCTCCTCTCCTCCTCCGCCTCCTTTTCCTCTCCTCCTCCGCCTCCTCCTCCTCCTCCTCCTCCTCCTCCTCCTCCATTCCTCTCCCACGCGTGGCCGATCGGGACGGCTCGAGGCGTCTCGAACCTCCCAGGCGCGTGGCAGCCAGCGTTGGATGGCGGGGATCCCTGGTTCAGTGCTCTGGTGCTTGGTGGGCGGGAGCGGTCGGGGTATGCCTTCTGTTGCTGGCACGGGCGCCTCCCTTGAGACGCGCGCCCACCGCCAGTGGGAAAATGCTCTGAGCCCGTCATTGGTTTTCAACGCTCGTCTGAGGCTCAGGCCAGGAGGTATCCGAAGGCCGCCGCTGCTTCTCTTCGTGGCCCCAGGGGGAGAGGCGAAGCCTCCTGATCCTAACTTGTCACGCTGTCCTCGTGCGCCCTGCGTGGGTTCCCCGCGTGCCCTTCCCTCGCTTCTTGGCCTCTCGCTCTACAGTCGAGCATGTGATCAAGAAGCCTTCTCGCGAAAAGCTGGGCCAGCGCTTCCGAATCGACCTGCCGGACAGCTGGACCGGTTGCTGGGGCGCGGTCGCCCCTCCAGCGTCGACACGACACCCTGGCCAGGCTTGCCCCAAGAAAAGAACTGTCCAGGAGGCTGGCCCAGGCTTCTTGAGTGATGATCCTCTTGATCCTACTTTCGGCTGAAAAAATTCCCGCGGCGCGTTCTCATATCTTCTTGATCATAGTCTCTTGAATTTCCAGGAAGCTGGCCGCCGGGTCTCTTCGCGCTCGCCGCGCCGCGGCGGCGACGCGCCGAGGCCGCCGCAGACGCCCCCACCCCCCGAGCGGGCGCGCGCACGGCGCCAGCGAGCGATGGGAGCGCCGCCGCCCGCGGCCGCCGCGGCGCCCGCCAGGGCGGCCCGACGTCGAGCCTCCCGCCCTCGCGCCGCGGCGGGCCGTGGTCGCGCCGCCCCCCCCCCCCCCCGGGCCCTGGCGGCGGCGCCCCCCGGCCCTCGGGCCCGCCCCCGCCCGCCTCGCGCGCCGCCCGCGCCGCCTCGCCCCCGAGGCGGGCCTCTGGGCCGCGGCGCCTCGGCGTGGGGCCCCCGGGCTCCGCGGGGGCCGCGCGCCCCCTCCCCGCTCTCCTCGCGTGCGCGTGTGCGTGCATCCTGTCTGCGCTCGGGCGCCTCTCCGGGGGCCTGCCGGGCCCTGGACGGCTGCAGCCCTCTCTTCAGAGCCCCGAATCATCAGGGGAAAACTCGGGTCAGGGATAACTCGGGTTCGTTTTTCGGGATTCCGAACCCGAGTTACCCCGGACCCGAGTTACCCCGGATAATTCGGGCGTCCAGAGCCCCAAATCATCAGGGGTAACTCGGGTCAGGGCTAACTCGGGTTCCTTTTTTCGGGAATCCAAACCCGAGTTACCCCGGACCCGAGTTACCCCGGATAACTCGGGCGCTTAATCTCTCCGTGCCTCGGCCTTCCCTCTGCTGTCCGTCGAGCCCGCGGTCCCTCCGATGCGGTTCGCCATCGGCGGCCGACGGTCGACGACCGCGGGCCGACGACGGCGTCGCGCGTGCCCCCCTCGCCCCTTCTGCTGTGCCTGGCTTTCGGGGGGGGTGGGGGGGGGGCGGTGGCGAGCGGCGGCGCGCGCGCGGCCGCCCGTCGCCCGAGTGAGAAGCCCTGAGAAGAAGAAGAGTACGCATAAGAGGAAGGAGGACACTGAGGCGAAGAGCAAGAGAATACGCGTAAGAGAGGGCATTGAGGACATAAGAGAGGGCATTGAGGACGGAATCGAATACAAAGAAGGAGGACACTGAGGACATAAGAGAACACGCACAAGAGGAGGGAGGACATTGAGGGAACAGTGCGGACAAGAAGAAGAAGAAGAACCCCGAGAAGAAGAATACGCATAAGAAGAATAAGGACCCTGAGAAGAAGAGCACGAATACGAAGAAGAAGAAAGGAAGTCCACCTGCTGCTGCAGGCAGAAGCAGGAACCCCACCTGGCATGAGGAGTTCTGCCTGCCCCGCCCCCCCTGGCGGAAGCCCCCCTGCCTCGGGCGCGGAGGGCCGGACGCCCGAGGCGCCCGCGAGCACGCGTGGTCCTAATGTTGGGCACCCGGAGCGTTCCGCACGAGGCTGCCTCTGCTGAGCTGGCCGCGCTCTGCCGCGCCACAGGTTTCAGATGTTGACGATGGTGGAGCTGAGGACGATGCTCATGAGGATGATGATGAGGATGAGGATGAGGATGATGAGGATGAGGATGATGAGGATGAGGATGAGGATGAGGAGGATGAGGAGGATGAGGATGATGCTGCTGATGATGATGGTGATGATGATGATGGTGATGATGATGATGGTGATGATGGTGATGCTGGTGATGATGATGATGATTATGATGATGATGGTGGTGATGATGAGGAGGAGGATAATGATGGGGATTGTAAGGATGCTGATGATGATGATGACGATGATGATGGGAATGCTGATGATGATGCTGATGATGATGATGATGTTGGTGATGCGGATGTTGGTGATGATGAGGAGGATGAGGATGATGAGGATGAGGATGATGATGCTGATGATGCTGATGCTGATGATGATGCGGTTGATGATGATGATGATGATGACAACGACGACGACGATGATGGTGGTGGTGGTGGTGGTAATGGTGATGCTGATGATGATGATGCTGATGATGATGCTGATGATGATGTTGATGATCATGATGATGATGATGATGATGATGATGATGATGATGGTGATGATGATGATGATGATGATGATGATGATGATGATGATGATGATGATGATGATGATGATGATGATGATGATGATGATGATGATGTGGTGGTGGTGGTGGTGGTGGGGGAGGTTCCGCGCTCGCTTCTTTCCTGCGGAGCCGCGCCGCAGGTTTCAGACGGGTGAGTATGCTCATTGGCATTGGCAGCGTGGTGTAAGTACCCTCGATCCCCGTTCTCGCTGGGGCCCGCGTGGGCTCCGTGTTCCCTCCGTGTTTGTGTGTGTGTTCGCATTGTGGCGGGCCCTTCGCCTGGGCTCCGCGGCGGCGGCCGGACTTTGGAGAGCCACTGCTTTTTCCCCATGCATTGCCAGGGATGGTGGGTTCCAACGTCCGAGTACCCCGCGCTGCCCCGCGCCGCCCCCGCTGTTGCTGCTTCTTTTCTCGTTGTCCTCCTCTGCCTTACTCCCGCGCCTCGCGCTCTTGCGGCGCCCCCCGCCTTGGGAGTGTGCCCTGCCTGCTGGCGTGGACCAGATCGACAGACACACTACTGGTGTTAACGCTGGCGTTGGAAGCACAAAAACCCCAAATCCCCCCCTCTCTCCTTCCCCTGGGCCTGGTCAGAATCGGCCGCATACTATTCATAATGCTCCTCCTGGGCCTCCTCCTCGTCCTCCCGTCCTCCTTCCATCCACCCCTCCCTCTTCCAAGAGCCTCCAGGGGACTTTGGAAAACGCCCAGGCCCCCATAGGCCTCCAGAAACAAGCGACGACCCCCAGGAATGCGCAACTACTTCACGAACCTGTTCTGTTCCTCTACTCCTCTCTTGTCGTTCAGCCTCTCCTCCCGACCCATTCCTCCAATCCCCCTGCCTTGGCTCTACCATCGTGCCCGTCCTCGTCCCCGTCCCCGTCCGAAGTCGTCGCTTCTCCTCCACCTTCTGCCAAGTTGTCGTCCTCATCTGAAGGCTTTCGGAGACACGGGAAGGCTGCAAACCATTCACAACATGGATTCGATTTTGATATGTTCTCGTCTTTCTCTCCTTCACCCTTTGAGGGCATCAAGCGACACCCGGACTGGTACCCGACGCTGTCTTCCGCCTCGTCGTTCGAGGATTTCCAGTTGGTCTTGCACGGCAATGGAGCGCTGTCCCACAAGTGCCCCAAGCCGTGCCAGGTTCAGATTGAGGGGGGGGGGTTAAGCAGGATTGGGAGGGAGGAGGGAAGGGGGAGGGAATGGGGAAGCTTGAGGGTGGCAGGATCAGGAGAAGGAGAGCGGGGGGGGATGGGGAGAGGAGAACGCGGGAGGAGGAGGTAACAGATGAAGGGTGGAAGGGATATGAAGGAGGAGAAAGGGAGGAGGGCGAGGGTTGAGACAGGGAGGGGGGAGGGGTCCACGGGGAGGATCGAGACGACCGATGCTGCTGTACGGTTTGGGACTCGTGTGCGCCCCCGCGTGTTATTGCATGAGCTCGGGCTTCCTGAAGCGCTAAGGGGGGTGGCACGACCTGCGTGACTTATCCTCACTCGATGCGCTGAAGGCATCCAGGGAGAAGCAGGAGGGAGGAGAGAGGAGGATCGAGGAGGAGGACAAGGTGGAGGAGGAGAAAGAGGAGGAACAGGATATCCCTGTTGTGGAGGATCTGAGAGTTGCGTGTTTGTGTATATGTGTGTGTGTGTGTCTGTGTGTCTGTGAGTGTGCCTGTCTGTGTGTGCCTGTGTGTGGTTGTGTGTGTGGTTATGTGTGTCTCTGTGTTTCTGTGTGTGTGTGCCTGTGTGCGTGTATGTGTGTGTGCGTGCGTGCGTGCGTGTGAGTGTGTGTGTGTGTGTTTGTGTTTGTGTTTGTGTTTGTGTTTGTGTTTGTGTGTGTGTTTGTGTGTGTGTGTGTTTGTGTTTGTGTTTGTGTTTGTGTTTGTGTTTGTGTTTGTGTTTGTGTTTGTGTTTGTGTTTGTGTGTGTGTTTGTGTTTGTGTTTGTGATTGTGGTTGTGTTTGTGTGTGTGTTTGGGTGTCTGTGTCTCTGAGTGCCTGTGCCTGTGCCTGTGTGGGTGTGTGTCTGCGTGTGCCTGTGTGTGTGTCCGTGTGTGTGTCTTTGTGCTTCTGAGTGTGTCTGCGTGTACGCGTGTTTCTGCGTGTGTGTATGTGTGTCTGTGTGTGCTTGTGTGTCTGTGTCTGTGTCTGTGTGTCTGTGTGTGTCTGTGTGTGTCTCTGTGTCTCTGTGGCTCTGTGTCTGTGTGTGTGTGGCACAGGGGGCGGAGTCAGCGAAAGCTGACATGGAACGAAAACGAACTCCATCTTTTTTCACCTCAGCTCTCCTGCAAAACCATCCAACAGTTACGACCAGGTCGCACTGTAACGGAGGCGAGGTGTAGCGCGAGTTACTATGGGCTCTGCTGCGTAGCCGAGTCCGCTCGCTGCAGACGAGTCGATCACCTGGTGTCTCGCACCCCCATAGTGTTGTCGCACCCCGCCGCGCGGGAGCCTTGGCCACCAGTGACTGAAGAGCGACTCCAGTCGGGCAGTGCGGGCCCAACGAGGAAGGAACACGGTTCCTGACCAGAACTCGATTGGAACGTCCCCAGGCTCGGACTCCTCTCTTTCTAGAGCGTGTCCCATCGAAAGCGCTGGGAGATGGAAGAAGCACAACGGGATCGATTTCGGGAAGCTGAGGCTGCGCGGGGCGCAGATGCGAGAGCCTTGCCCTTCACGTCCTGCGGGACACCGTAAGCTGCCTCCCGCGAACCGGAAGACCGCGAAACTGCCGCCCCCACGACTGTGAACGCCACGAGCTTCCGCCTTCGAAGATGTCGCCCCGGAGCGTGAACATCACGAGGCTGCCGCCCACAGGCTTGAGCACACCCAGCGCCACGACGCTGTGGCCCATGAGCGTCAGCTCCACGACGCTGCCCCTCCACGAGCATAAACACCTCGAAGCGATCGCGCACGAGCGCGAACACCAAGAGGCTGCCGCCCTCGAGTACGGATGCAACGCGGCTGCTGCCCACGAGAGCGAGCACCAAGGAGCTGCCGCCCGCAAGCGTGGCCACACCGAAGCTACCCTCCACGAGAGTGAATGCCACGAGGCCGCCCCTCCACGAACGTGATCATCACGAAGCTGTTGCCAACGAGCGTGAACACCAAGAACGTCTTCGGTGGAGTGCCCATAAGGGGCCACAGAAACGGTGGTGTCAGTGGGGCCTTTGGTGGAGCTCCCTGTGGGGCCACGGATCGTGGAATGTGTTCGCAGTAATGAGTGGGGGAGACGCATGCGAACGGTGCCACTGGGGCTTTCGGTGGAGCTCCCTATGGGATCACGAACCGTGTGAGGGGTGCGCCGTAAAGGGTGGGGTGATGCGTGCGAATGGTGTCACTTGGGCCTCCGGTGGAGATCCATATAGGGCTACGAAGTCGTAGTAGTAGTCGTAGTAGTAGTAGTAGTAGTAGTAGTAGTAGTAATAGTAGTAGTAGTAGTAGTAGTAGTAGTAGTGGTAGTGGTAGTGGTAGTGGTAGTGGTAGTGGTAGTGGTAGTGGTAGTAGTAGCAGTAGTCGTAGTAGTAGTAGTAGTAGTAGTAGTAGTAGTAGTAGTAGAGTAGTAGTAGTAGTAGTAGTAGTAGTAGTAGTAGTAGTAGTAGTAGTAGTAGTAGTAGTATAGTAGGTAGTAGTGTAGTCGTAGTCGAGTCGTAGTTCGTAGTCGTAGTCGTAGAAGTAGAAGTAGTAGCAGTAGTAGTAGTAGTAGTAGTAGTAGTAGTAGTAGTAGTAGTAGTAGTAGTAGTAGTATAGTAGTAGTAGTAGTAGTAGTAGTAGTATAGTAGTAGTAGTAGTAGTAATAATAGTAGTAGTAGTGTAGTAGTCGTAGTTGTAGTAGTAGTAGTTAGTAGTAGTAGTAGTAGTAGAGTAGTAGTAGTAGTGTAGTAGTAGTAGTAGTAATAGTAGTAGTAGTAGTAGTAGCAGTAGTAGTAGTAGTCGTATTATTAGTAGTAGTAGTAGTAGTAGTAGTAGTAATAATAGTAGTAGTGGCAGTATCAGTAGTAGTGGTTGTTGTTGTGTGGGGGATGCGCCGTGATGGGGGGGGACGCGTGCTAACGTTGCCTCTGAGGCTTTTGGTGGAGCTCCCTGTGGGGCCGCGCGCCGTGTGAGGGAGACGCCCTAAGGGGCGGGGGAGACGCCTGCGAAGGATGCCACCGGGGCATCCAGTGAAGCTCCTTGCGGGGCCACGAAGCGTGTGAGGGGTGCGCTGAAATGTGCAGCACGGACGCATGAGAGCGTCGCCACTGAGGCCTTCGGCGGAGCTCATATAGGGGCCACGAGCCGTGTGATGGGGTGTGCCGGAATGTGCGGCACGGACGCACGGAAACGTCGCCACTTGTGCTTCAGGTGAATGCCCCATGGGGCCACGCACCGCGTGGGGTATGTACCGAAATATGCGGCACGGACGCATGGGCACGTGGCCACTGGGGCTGCAGGTGGAGCTCCTTATGGGGCCACGAACTGTGTGTGGGGTGCGCCGAGATGTGCTGCACAGGCGCATGGGAACGTCGCCACTTGTGTCTCAGGTGAGCGCCCCACGTGGCCACGTACCGCGTGGTGTGTGTGTGTGTGTGCCGAAATGTGTGGCACGGACGCATGGGAACGTGGCCGCTGGGGTTGCAGGTGGAGCTCCTTATAGGGGCCCCGAACCTGTGAGGGGTGTGCCGAAATGTGCGGGGCGGACGCATGGGAGCGTCGCCGCTGGACCCTTCAGCGGAGCTCCCAGAGAGGCCACGAAACGTGTGATGGGTGTGCCGAAATATGCAGCGCGGACGCACGGGAACGTCGCCATTGGGGCCTGAGGTCCCCACGGGGCTACGAACCGTGCAAGTGGTGTGTCGCAATGTGCGGTGCGGGCGCACGGGAACGTCGCCATTGGAGCCTTAGGTCGACATGTGCGGCGCGGACGCATGGGAACGTCACCGTTGGGGCCCTTGGTGGAGCTCTCCTATGGAGCCACGAAGCGTGTGAGGGTCTGTGCCGACATGTGCGGCACGAACGCATGGGAACGTCGTCGTTGGGGTTTAGGTGGAGCTCCCGTTCGGGCCACGAACCGTGTGAGTGGTGTACCTAAGTGGTTGACATGCGGAGGGCGGGCACACGGATGGGAGGAGGGATCAGGGGGAGGACAAGGAAGGAGGAGTGATGCTGGGGCTTGTCTCTTCACAGCGAGGACCCAACTTCACAGCGAGGACCCAAATTCACAGGATGGTTGGGAACAATCTCGAGGTCCCCGCTTTGGCGGATGCCGCCGCTGCGGAGGGCGTGGACTCCAACGAGGCCCGCGCCCGCGAGGCGGGCGAGGCCGACGACGAGCCGACCGAGGAGGCGCTGCCGACCCCTGTGCTGTCGACACCCGCGCTCCCGTTGGGGCGAGGGTGCTACGTGTGGATCCCAGGAGGAGCATGCCCCAGGAAGAATGTGACCGTCGTCGGCGACAGGTGGCGGCGCGACGAGTGGGTCGAGAGCCACAGCGAACCCGGCGCGCGCGCGGAGGCTTGCATGGAGCGCAAGGCGCGGTTCGACGAGTACTGCGGCATCAAGGCCTCGAGGATGGTCTACATCGCGCACGGCGGGGCCGAGACATGGCGAGTGGGGCGTTCCAGCGAGATTCTCTCCAGAAGGAAGCCAATGCAGCTCCCGACTGAGACGGGATGCTATCGAAAGCGCTTGCGGCGAACCACCGCCGCCCAGTGCTTTTTGGAAACGCCTACGTGGCCAAGTGTTTCGCCAGTGTCCGTAGACGCGCTAACGGCAATGTAGGTAACGGCGATGTAGGGTTCGGCATTGTAGGTGGGACTGCTTCGTGGCCAAACCAATCGTAGGACATCGTGGTCCGTACTTTCCTACACTTCGTTGCGTCGTTTTTGCTCGACACATTCGCACATTTGAAATGTAGGAAAGTGAGGTTCGCGATTTCCTACAATTTGCTCTGCGCGAGCTCGGTGTCACAAGAATCGGCTTCCCAACATCGCCGTCAAAACCAACATCGCCGTTAGCGCGGCCTCGGAGTGTCCTGCCAAGCTATTGGGCTGTGTGTTCCCCCAGCCTCTGTGGGAGCCCTTGGAGGACATTTTGGAGTGGGAGGAGGAGGAGGAGGACAAGTCTAAGCCCAAGGCTCATCAACGACGCTGTGAAACATACCCTCCCCGTCGCGTTCTTCCTTCGTCGGCCCGTTCAAAGATTCAGTCTCACTCGGGCACGTGCCCCGTTGGAAGTCCACCGTCCGAAAAGCCTCGACCGGGCCAGAACACCACCTGGGGACCTCGGCGCCGCGAGTCGACGTTACTTTTGCGTTCTGGCGATCGCGAACCGTGCCTCATCGCCATTTCTGAGATGTTATATAACACCACGACTCGCCTCAATCGTTTCGCCCTTGCAGTCCCACCTCGTGCCAGAACACCATCTCTGGGGCATCACCCACAGAATCCGTGAAGCTGCTGAAACCTCTTGAGACAGATGCGCGCGGCGCTGAGGCGAGAGCCACCTCGTGAAAAGGTACCGCTCCTGATCCCTTCTACTGTGACAAACTGTCAGAGCGAATGTGCGCGGCGCGCCGGCGAGAGCCGCATTTTGAAAAGGGCCCGCCATTCCTCCGTGAAGTTGCTGCAGGCGTTTCGAAGGGTGCGCGGGGCGCTACGGCGAGAGCCGCAGTCTGAGAGAGCGGCCCGTCCTCCACCCGTGCAGTGGCTTGCTGCAGACTCGTAGGACGAGTGTGCGCGGCGCTCCGGCGAGAGCCACCTTTTGAAGACGGCCAGCCCTCCGTCGGGGAAGCTTCTTCCGTTTTTTTCCTACGAAAGAGTGCGCGGCGCTAAGGTCAAGTCGGGCATGTCCCTCTCACGGAGGAGAATTCAAGAATGGTCGAACAAACAGTCTGGGGCCATCTTTTTGAGCATCGTTTCAATGTTTTCGAGCATGTTTCGGATCTGGTTTATTTGTTGTGCAGAATCCGCCTGTAGGAGGACACGCCCGACCTAGATGTAAGCTTCAGGATTACGAGTGGTGAGGAGGCCTCATGCGGAACGCCCGGCCCGCCCTTTCGACCCGAATTGGCGTTGCACAAGGAGGAGTTGTTTATAAGGAAAAGAAATGGAGGAGGCGGGGCAGGAGATCGATGATGATGATGATGATGATGATGATGATGATGACGGTGACCATACTGGCGATGGTGACGACGATGATGATGATGATGATGATGGTAATGCTGTTTTTGATGATGATGATGATGATGCTGCTGATGATGATGATGATGATGATTATTGAGAGGGTGATGTTGCTTACAGTGATGATGCTGATGATGGTGATGGTCATGATTAGTGATGATGAGGATGCTGATAATGATGATGATGCTGCTGCGGATGATGATGATGGTGATGGTGATGATGATGGTGGTGGTGGTGGTGGTGATGCTGATGATGATGATGGTGATGATGGTAATGGTGATAATGATGACGATGATGATGACGATGGTGGTGATGATGATGCTGATGCGGATGCTGATGCTGCTGCTGCTGTTGATGATGGTCATCATCATCATCATGCTGCTGCTGATGATCAGGCTGGTGCTAATGCTGATGCTTATGCTGGTGATGGTGATGGTGGTGGTGATTGTGAAGATGAGGGTTAGGATATTGAGGATGACAAGGATGGTGGTGATGAGAATGCTGATATTGATATTGATGTCGGTACTGATGCTGGTGTTGATGATGATGTTGATGAGGAGGAGGAGAGAAGGCCTCCTGCGAGCCTCTTTGGGCCCACTTGGAGCTCCATACTCCTTGGTGGCCTTGGAGGGGCCTGTTGAGGGGCTTCCTGGGGCCTCGTGGGAGCATCCTGGGTCTCTTTGAGAGCATTCCTGTCTTTGAGAGCCTCTTGGGCTATCCCATGTCGCTCTTAGCCCGCGGTACCTCATTTGGCCGTCCAGGGCGCTCGAAAACCGCCTTTCGGTCTATTAGCCAGTCGGTTTTATTGGGCCATCTTGAGGCCATATCCTCTGGCCTTTTGGAGGCCTCTTGAGGGCCTCATGGGGACTTCTTGATGGCCTCCTGGGGCTGGGGTGCCTCGAGGCAGTCTTGGGAGCAATCTTATGCCATGAACCCCCACCTCTCGAGCATGTTAACAGAAGTTTAAGCAAAAAGCACATCGACACAAGCACACACACACACACGTACACACACACACACACTGTCATCATGTGTCTCGGAGATCTTCATGCGTTCCAGTTCCTGGCGCTCCCGTTTGTGAGCGTCTGGGTGAAATTGCTCAGCCCGTGGCGAGTGAGCGTTCCCTGGCGGCTGCCCCAGGAGTGCCAAAATGCGATGCCCGCTACATCGGCATGATCGCTGGACTCTGACAGGAGAGGGGCCCAGGGTGCCTAAGCTTGAGTTTCGCATGAGAGGTCCCCCGATCTGGGCGCGGACTGGCCAGTGTAACACCCTTCACGCCATGCCTGCTACATCGCGGTGATCATGGGGGCTCTTAGCAGAGGGAGCAATGACAAGCACACCGCTTGAGACAGCCTCCCGACCTGGGCACGAACGTGCGAGTGTAACCGTTCCTGGCGGCTGCCCTTTGGGGTGTCCAGTTGCCGCGCCTCCACTGTCGCGCTGACCATGAGGCTTTTAAAGAAAAAGCTGAGGGGGGCAACCTAGGCGCGAACGGGCGAGTGTAATACATACCCCCCGGCGGCTCCCCACCGGGGGGCCCATGTGACACGCTTGCCACATCGCAGTGGTCACGGGGCTTTCGTGAGAGAGGAGTCCAGGGAGCATCACCAGCAAACTGTTTGAGACATTGCCACAATCTAGGCGCGAACGGGCGAGTGTGATACCCCCTGGCGCCCCCCTCCCCCCAGGGGTGCCCAAGTGCCACGCCTTGTCACCATCGGGCTTTCAAACGAGATGAGCCTGAGGAGCAAAAATACCACCTGAGACGTCCCCACGAACTGGGCGTGAACGGGCGAGTGTGATACCCCCGGGCGTCGGGTTCCCAAGCGCCACGCCTGCTATGTCGCGGTGGTGATGAAGCTCACAGAATTTACAAGGAGTCTGAGAAGCAAAACGAGCAGAATCGTTTGAGACATCCCCACAATCTGGGCGCGAGCGTGCGAGTGTAATACCCCCCGGGCGGCTCACCCTTCGGGTTCCCAAGTGCCACGCCTGCGATGTCGCGGTGGTGATGAAGCTCTCAACAAGGAGTCTGGTGGGCAAGACGAGCAAAATCGTTTGAGATATCCCCACACGTTCGGGGGGCGAACAGGCGAGCGTAATGCCCTCTGGCGAACCCCTGGGGTGGGTACAGTTGCCACGCCTGTTATGTCGGTGTGACGATGGGGCTGTCAAGAAAAGGGACTCTGGAGGGCAAAACGAGCACACCGCTTGTGGCATCCCCACAATCTGGGCGCGAACGGGCAAGTGTGCTACCCCCTGGCGGCCCCAGTCAGAGTGCCCACGCTCCACGCCTGCTATGGTGCTGTGGTCATACTGCTAGCGCGAATGATCCTTTGTGAGCGACGTGGGCGTATGCGTCTAAATAGGACTAGGCTGGGAACGAGTGGATCTGAGTGGGAGTGGTCTGCGAATGAGTGTGGTCGGTTTATGCGTGAGTTTGGGTATGAGCAGGTTTGTGTATTAGTGGATCTGAGTGCGAGCGAGTCTGAGCGCGGTTGAGTCTGAGTATGAGGGCTCTGAGCGTGAGCTGGGTGTTCTGGCTTTGAGCGCGCCTGAGTCTGCGTGAGTCTGAGTGCGTGCGAGTCTGAGCATTCGTGATCTGAGTGCGATGAGAGGGAGGAAGGCAGCGGAAGGGAGTGGGTGCGGCGTCGAAGGCCCCCAACGAATAACAGCAAGAGTTCCGTGTTGAGGAGCTGGAGAATGAATACCCCACGTGTTGTATGCACGGTTGGCTGCATGAGCCGACCCCCAGGGTTTCAACATGGCCCACCAAGCCCCAGGAGAGCCCCACGAAATCATCTTAATCTATGCTAGGGGGATGGAATCTGCATCGCGTTCCCAAGGGTTCTGGAAAAAGCGTTGCGAGACACTTCAGAAAACGCCCACGCGCGACGAATCTGGGAATCCAGGGCCCGGGACCCCAGCACATCAGCTACGGCTCAAGGACATATTTGTGCAGCAACAGCAACACGAAGCAAACTCCCCCCCTCCACCCCGCCGGCCTTTACATTGGCAAACCAAATTCCCCCCTCCACCCCCTGGGCCTTCACATTGGCAAGAATTGCGGTCGAGATGTTGGGCGCGATATTGTTCTGGCACCTCTTCTAAGGGAACGCTTGTTCAATATGCAGGTCCGGGGGCGGAGAAGGTCATGCGAAGTGCTTCGGAAACGTTTGCTGCAACATTTTCTTCATTCAGCAGTATCATACTCCATCCAGAGAGTTCGAAGGGACCTGTCGACACTCCACTTCGTGCCTCGCGGCACGGTGGCGGATTTCAAGCTGCCGCAGGGGTGCTGGGCGCAAGGTGGCCCCTCGACGAACCGTTGGGTTCGGGATACTTGGGGCGAGGAGCACGCACATGCCAGCACGAACGCCCAGGCGTGCGCCGACCGCAAAGGTTTCTTCGACAGCCACTGCGGCGTGAGCGACGCCGAGATGATCAGCGTGGTCGCCGACGAAGAGGGGCCGCTGGGGTACATCCAGGGTCTGCCGGCAACAGCCGTCGATGCGGTGTCCGGCCAGGGGGCGCGGGCCTCTGGGGCAGAGAAGTTGGATGCGCACGGCCGGCTGCCATCTCCGCAGGCTCGGACGGACGGCAACGGGGGAGCGATTCAGAAAGGTCGTCGAAGGGCGCACTTTGCAGTCACCCTCCAGGCGCGGGGTTGCGGTCCAGGGTCATTGTAGGGCCACTCTGCAGCCACGCTCGTGGGCCCCGATGGACCCTCGTCCTCCTTCTCCTCCTCCTCCTCCTCCTTTTCCTCCTTTCCTTCAACTCCTCCTCGTCCTCCTCCTCCTCCTCCTTCTCCTCCTCCTCTATTTCCTCTCCTTATAGATAACTCCTCCCTGTCGCACCCCGAGGCCAGTTTTAGGGCGGGCTGGGCGTTTCGCCTGAGACGTCCTCACCACTTTTAACCCTGAAGGTTAAAAAGTGACAGCAGCTTCACAGATGGAGGGCGGGTCGTTTTCAAAATGTGGTTCTCGCCTTAGCGCCGCGATCATTCGCTTTAAATATTTGCAGGAGTTTCAGGGATTGAGGGCGGGTGGTTTTGAACATGTGGCACTCGCCTAAGCGCCGCGCACATTCGATTTCAAACTTTGCAAGAGCTTCACGGATTGAGGGCGGATGGTTTTCAATATGTGGCTCTCGCCTAAGCGCCGCGCGCCGCATTGGTCCAAAAATTGTACAAGAGCTTCACGGATTGAGGGCGGGTGGCTTTGAAAATGTGGCTCTCGCCTTAGCGCCGCGCACATTCGTTGCCAAAATTTGCAGGAGCTTCACGGATTGAGGGCGGTTCCTTTTCAAAATGTGGTTCTCGCTTCAGCGCCGCGCACATTAATTTTCAAAATTCGCAAGAGTTCCATTGGTTGCCATGATCAACGTATCAGAAATGGTGTTTTGGAAGGATTCTGGACTGGGCGCAACAGTTATGTTGATTCGCGGTGTTGAAGTCCCAAACGCCCTGGCACGATCCCGGATCGTCAAGACGCAGCAGTCAGGTTGATACGTGGCGTTGAAATCCCGAGAAGAATATTGTGGCATGCTTCGGGATCTTCAAACGGTTGTCTTCCAACGAGGCAGTTCGTTCCCTCAATGGAAATGAACCATTGTGGGGGCCTATGGAGAGGGAGCTTAGTGGGAGGGTCAATTCCAACATCGTTGATGATTCTTGGTTTTGCACTGGTCCTCCTCCGCCTCCTCCTCCTCCTCATCCTGCTTTTCCTGCTTTTCCTTCTGCTCCTCCTCCTCCTCCTCCTCCTCCTCCTCCTCCTCCTCCTCTTCCTCCTCCCCCTCCTCCTCCTCCCCCTGCTCCGGCCGCTACGACGACAAGGGGGGGCGAGCGCCGCAGGCGGCGGTGAGCGAGCTGCCGGCGGGCGACGATTTTGCCGAGCTGCAGCAGCAACTGGCCGCTCACGAGATGCAGCAGGTGCAGAAGCTGATGGAAGAGGAGAGGAATAATCACAGTAATCATAATACTACGAAGAAGAATAATAAGACTAAGAAGAAGAAGAAGAAGAGGACGCGGCACAAGCATAGGCTTTCGGAGTTCATCGCTGGATTTCTTGGATCGGTGTTGGGGGCCCCCTGGCGACGCCTCTGGCGCCGTACCTGGCGCGCTCCGCGCGCCAGGGAGGGGGCCACAGCGCCGATCCAAGATGTCCTTGCGGAGCTTCGACAGTTCCCCAAACAGTGCTTGCACTTAGGGTTTTTTACTTGGCTGAACCATCTCGGGGTGAATGGCGGCTTTTGCGGGCGGTGCCGCCTGTCGCCGCTGTCGCCGTCGCCGCCGCTCGGGGCGAGCGGCAGCTTTTACAAACGGTGCCGCCCGTCGCCGCCGTCGCCGTCGCCGTCGCCGTCGCCGCCGCTTGGGGCGAGTGGCGGCTTTTGCGGGCGGTGCCGGTCGTCGCCGCCGTCGCCGTCACATAGTTCGCACTACATAGATTCTCCTTTCTAGAAGAAAATGGACTCCACCACTTTCTGGAGGCCAAACTAATCGGTCCTCCCTGGGGATCTCCAATTTACACATGATTCTGCTCCATCGCCCATCCTATCTATGAGTTCGCACCGTCCCAGCCCAACGGTAATCCCCCCCCCCCGCCATCCTTTGCAACAAATTAACCCAGTGCGACCCTACCTAGGAGTTGGAGCATTTAGGAAATCAGCATTTTCATCTACTCCGACAGCTACATTAACATCTACACCTGCATCTACATCTACATCAACATCAACAGCGAGACCCACATCTACATCTACACCTACATCTACACCTACATCTACATCTACACCTACACCTACATCCACATCTACATCTACACCTACACCGCGGGGCGGATGCCGGGGGAACCGCCCGGGGCGCGTTCCACTGCCCGGCCTTTTTCACATAGAGAGTAAGAACCCTTCTAGGCAGAGCCTAGGTAGGGAATAATATGCGCGCATTCGCTTATCAAAACTCATGAGTTGCCACAAGTCCCTTGCAACTGAACAGTATGACTACATGCGCACGAGCGCGTTGTCGCCCGCGCGTGCCGAAATCATTCGAAATCCTTCGGTTCCGTGAAGATATCAAATTCGAGTGTCCAAAACAATATAAACAAACTATAGTTTTGCAGCGCGGATTTTTTACAACAAACTGGCGCGCACGCTCTTGCGAATTCGCAAGAAAACCATCGGTTTTTTGATTATGTTCAGAAAGTGCTACTAAACGGGCTTCGCGCGAGCGCACGTCGAAATCATTCGAACGCCTTCGTGCGCATGCCGTCGCGAGAACCATTTGCAAAACATGCGACGAAGTGCACGCGCGCGCGTCGCCGCGCGCGCATGCCGAAATCAGTCGAAAGCCTTCGGTTCGCAGCGGTTTTAAAACCGAGCGCCAAAACACATAAAAACACACGGTTTCGCAACATCAGTTTTCAATAAAAGGTTGCGATCGCGCTCTTGCGAATTCTTACGTAAATCACACGTTGTCCAACGTGTTCATGGAATCCTGCCACGCGGGCCTCTCGCGCCGCATGCCGAAATCATTCGAACGCCCTTGCGCGCGTGCTGGGGGGGAGGGGGGGGGCACGATCAGTGTCAAATAATGCCATGCGGCTGCCCTCGCGCGTCGGCCGCGCGCGCGTGTCGAACTTATTCCAAAACTTTCGTCACCGACGCGAGGGCGCCGTCGTCGTCGTAGTCGGCGTGATCAGCATCGGCGCCGTCATTGACCTTGCCGTCGTCGTTGTCAACGTCGTCACCATCACAATTATCATCGCGTCTGCTGTCGTCGACGCTGCCATGGAACCGCGCCCGCCCAAGTCGCCGACTCGCGCTGAGGTGCCAGCTGGGATGCGCCTAGCAGTCAGCGCCACCGCGGCCCCGTCGGTCGCGCCAAACAAGCTGGCCGCCGCGGGCGCGAGGACGCGCGGGCCAGCGCTGCCGCAGAGATGCACCAGACAATGCAAATCACTCGGCGCAATCGCTTCGGCATGAGATTTGCGAGCCCAGTTGCGGGCGGGCGGGCGGGGTGACTGCGCGGGCAGTGGAGTCGACAAATTCAAGTTCGGCAAGGTGCATTCTCTCATGTTAACAGAGACCTCCGGGATAATCCACCCTGTGTGGCGCATTGCCGTTTACATATTCATCTGCCCCGTCGCCCACCTCAAATATGAACTCGCACTATCCCAGCCCAGTTGGCATCCGCCCCCCTCCCCGCCATCCTCTGCAACAGACGTGCTATGCGCGCGCACTCGTTGACCAAAAACCATCCGTGGTTAAGAATATTTTACAACAGATGAGACGAAGTGCACGCGCGCGCGCACTCGCGCACGAATGCCGAAATCCTTCAAAAACCTCCGGTCTCGCAAGGGTTTTTCAAAATCGAGCGCCCGTGCACAGATAAGGCCGTCGTGTTTCGCAGCGTGGATTTCAACAAAACGGAGAAAAAAACACGCGTTCTCGCGAATTCCAAAGACAGCTCTATCTGTGTTTCATCATTTTCGATAAAGAGAACAACTGCCAAACGGGTTTCGCGCGCGCACATGTTGAAATCGTTTGAACGCATTTGCGCGCGTGTCGCCGCGAGAATCCTTCACAGGACATGCGACGCAGTGCGCGCGCTTGCGTCGCCGCGCGCGCATGCCGAGAGCCCGTCAAAAACCATCGCTTTGGTAACGCATCAGTTTTCAAAGAAAGTCTGCGCTCGCGCCCATGCGACTTCTCAAGGCAACCATCTGTTTCCCAACGTGCACGTGAAATCGTGCCGCGCGGGCCTCTCGCGCCGCATGTCGTCGCCGACGCGAGGGCGCCGTCGTCGTCGTCGTCGTCGGCGCGATTGGCATCTGCGCCCGCGCTGGCCGCGCCATCGTCGTTGTCGGCATCGTCGCCAGCGCCCCTGCGATCGTCGTCGCGTCCACCGCTACTGACGCTGCCATGGCACCGCGCCCGCCCAAGTCGCCGACCCCTACTGAAGTGTCCGCTGGGATGTGCCCAGCAATCAGCGCCGCCGCGGCCGCGTCTGTCGCGCCGAACTAGCCGGCTGCTGCGCGCGCGCGAATACTAGCGCGGCCGCAGAGATGCACCAGCCAAGGCCAAGCACTCATCGCAGTCGCACCCGCATGGGTTTTGCAGGCCAAGTGGCGGGTGGGCGGGCGTGGTGATAGCGCGAGCAGTGGAATCGACGACCTCATGATCGGCGAGGTGAACTCCCTTGTCTCCGATTCTCCTTTGGCAAGTTTGCAAGAGCATGGAATGTGTCAACTCGTTTGAAAGAATCACTTTCCCTTCTATATCAAGAAAAAGTTGTAACCCCCAGGGATTATTTGCCCCTTTTCGAATTTCAATTTTCGCGCGATTCTGCCTCGTCGCCCATCTCAAATATGAGTTCACGCCGTCCCAGGCAGGCCGGCTTCGACCCCCCCCCCCCCCTCCGATCCTTTGCAACAGCATTACGCGCGCTTTCGCTGATCAAAATCACCTGCGCCCAGAAATCCCCCGCCGCGAACGAGACGGAGCGCGCGCGCGCGCGCCGTCGCGCGCGCGCGAAATCCATGAAAAACCTTCGGCGTCGCAAGGATTTCAAAATCGAGCGCCCCGAAAGCGCATAATATATTCTGCTTCGTAAGATAAAGAAAATAATCGCGCGCGCACTCCTCCGAATCCTTGGCACGGCCACATGATTGTTTTGGTTTTCGAGGTGTTCGGAAGATGCCGCCGAACGGGCACGGCGCGCGCAATCGGAGGCGTTCGAGCGCCCTTCTGCGCGCGGGCCGCCGCGAGAGCCCTGCGGAGCAAACGTGACGCAGCGCGCGCGCGTCGTCGCGCGCGCATTTCGAAATCCGTCAAAAACCTGTGGTTTCGTCGCGGTCCCAAAACTG